TTTTCTTCCTTTATTCTCTTCTTTCATTCTTCTATTATTATGGACCCATCAATTACTCCTCAACCCTATTGACTTGGTTGCTTGATTTTGGTGGAGATTTATTCTTTAAGTATTTTAAGGTATAAATTTTGTCCTTCACTCAACTCCTAATTTGTAGCATTAATTTTTTATTTTCTTTATCAAAATTATTTCACATTATTATTGATGAATTCTCATAATTGTTTGTTATAGTTAATAGAAATACTAATACTTAAAAATCAAAATGTTAACTTTGATATTAGAATTATGATTTAAATTTGAAAATTATGATTTTAATTTCATAATTTTGATTTTAATTTGTTGTGAGACTAAATTTTATGGTTAGTTGAATTTGGCTTAAGTTGATTATGTTTGATAAAATTTCATATTATTGTTTGTTTTTTGTAACAAACAAAGATGGATGAAGATTTATACTGGACATTTTGGAGTTTAGAGGAAATAATCATTTTTTAGATTGGGAATGGTTTTTGGAATGCATTTGAAATAGTTCTTCGTAGAAGACCAAAAACAAAGCGCATTCCTTCAGGATTGAATTCCCATAAAGAGTTGAAGTGTAGTAGACGTCAGCAGTACAGTCACAACTATAGAACATGTAGACAATCTATGACGGACTAAATTGAGTTTTATACTATTAGAACATGCAAGCAATCGATTACAAATGTGCATGAGTTTTGTACTCGAATTTTGTGTTGGTACCATACACTTTGTTTTGTAAGTTATGAGGATGTAATCCAATTAATGTGTTTGGTATAATTATGTTTGTTCAAATTACAGGCTATCGTTTCAAAATAATGGGCTATACTTTCATTAAACTTTGCTATACTTTCAGGATAACATGTTATACTTTCAAAATAATCTGCTATACTTTTAGAATAACATGTTATACTTTCATAATAATATACTATATTTTAACCTGCTATACTTTCAGAATGATATGTTATACTTTTATAATAACATGCTATACTTTCAAATAATAACATGCAATACTTTCAGAATAGCATGCTATACTTCTAGAATAACATGTCATACTTTCAAATAACACACTATACTTTTATACTAACATCATATACTTTCATAATAACATGCTATACTTTTAAAATAACATGCTATACTTTCACAATAATATGTTATACTTTCTGAATAACACACTATACTTTCATACTAACACGCTATACTTTCATAATAATATGCTATACTTTCAAAATAACACGCTATGTTTTCACAATAACATGATACACTTTCAGAATAACTTGCTATACTTTCGTACTAACATGCTATACTTTTATAGTAAGATGTTATACTTTCAGAATAACTTGCTATACTTTCAGAATAACTTGCTATACGTTTAAATAACATGCTATTCTTTCAAGTTAACATGATATGCTTTCATAATAACATGATACGCTTTCATAATAACATGCTATATTTTCAGAATAACACGCTACACTTTCAGAATAATACACTGTATTTCATAATAACATGTTATACTTTCAGAATAGCATGCTATACGTTCAAATAACATGTTATACTTTCAAACTAACATGATATACTTTCATAATAACATGCTACACTTTCAGAATAACACGTTACACTTTCAAAATAACATGATATACTTTCAAAATAACTTGTTATACTTTCATACTAACAGGCAATACTTTTTTAATAACATGCTATACTTTCATAATAATTTACTATACTTTTAGAATAACGTGCTATAATTTCATAATAACATGTTATACTTCAGTATAACATGTAACATGTTACACTTTCAGAATAACCTGCTAATATTTCAGAATAATATGTCATACTTTCAAAATAACATGTTATACTTTCATAATAACATGCTATACTTTGAAAATAATGCGCTATACTTTCACAATAACATGATATACTTTTAGAATAATTTGCTATACTTTCGTAGTAACATGCTATGCTTTTAGAATAACCTATTATACTCAAGGTTTTAAATGTTGGATGTCGGGTTCATGTTGGACGACTAAAATCCATATCAGATAGCAAAAATCGGGGATATATCGGGGGACATGGACTAAATATCGGTTTGTCATATTGGGTGATGCGCATATGTATAATATTATGTTCTAAATATAATCTAAGCATTCCTAAATTCAATATAAGCATACTTTATAAATTCTAGAGGCGGCGCCGGCGATGGGTGGATTCCGACGTCTCAGGGAGGCAGTGCTGGCGACGAGATGTCACATGGAGGAAGTGTCAGGGCTCTTCTTCTTCGTCGTCTGCTCAGAATCATTCAGATGAGTCAGCGACCACCCTCTTTTCTTTATCCCGACGACGGGATACCCTGCCGTCCTCGAGGTTCGGTTGGGGTTCGAATTTTAGGGCGCAATGGGAGATGAATGACGGGGGTCCGAGATGGAGGTGGGGAAGGGTGTCGTCGTTCACGAAAGGAGTGATCGGTTTTCAAGTCCGCTGTAGCCTTAAATTTTCTCTTTTCTTTCTATTGGGTTCATAACAAACCCTTAAACATGAGAAGGGGTCAAACGGGTTTGGGTTTTTATCACTAAACCCAAACCCGATAACAAAAAACAGATCTAAAAAAGGCTCATATCGGCCAATTTTTCAAGGCTAAAAAATTTACCTATATGCCCAATATGGCCCCGAAAACCGACACCTAAATTCAATATAAGCATACTTTATAAATTCTAGAGGCGGCGCCGGCGATGGGTGGATTCCGACGTCTCAGGGAGGCAGTGCTGGCGACGAGATGTCACATGGAGGAAGTGTCAGGGCTCTTCTTCTTCGTCGTCTGCTCAGAATCATTCAGATGAGTCAGCGACCACCCTCTTTTCTTTATCCCGACGACGGGATACCCTGCCGTCCTCGAGGTTCGGTTGGGGTTCGAATTTTAGGGCGCAATGGGAGATGAATGACGGGGGTCCGAGATGGAGGTGGGGAAGGGTGTCGTCGTTCACGAAAGGAGTGATCGGTTTTCAAGTCCGCTGTAGCCTTAAATTTTCTCTTTTCTTTCTATTGGGTTCATAACAAACCCTTAAACATGAGAAGGGGTCAAACGGGTTTGGGTTTTTATCACTAAACCCAAACCCGATAACAAAAAACAGATCTAAAAATAGTCCATATCGATCGATTTTTTAAGGCTGAAAAATCAGTCAATATGCCCGATATGATCTCGATATTTTCGATTTGGCCTTGAAAACCAACATACGAGTTGAGAACGCCAATGTCGTGTCGCTCAAGCCCTCAAACCGACATGTCGGCTGACACGTCGGACATGTCGGCTGACAATTAAAACCTTGGCTATACTTTGAGAATAACATGTTATACTTTCATTATAGCATGCTATACTTTTAAAATAACATACTATACTTTTAAAAGACCTGCATATCTACACAAAATACAACCAAGAATACAAAATACATAAGGAATTAACAACATATACCCATCATATCCAATATCATTGTATAAACAAAATACAACCAAGAACACAAAATACATCCATGAGCACCAAATACATAAGGATGTAAAAATAAACATCACGTACCCACCATATCCATATCCAATACAAAAGGGTGAATAACTTGCATTACACTATAAGTAACATCACATGCATGATACATACACATCATATCCATATGTAAACATACACATGCACGAGAAACAAAGCGCATGTTTATAAATTTTCTCGTGATTCTGCTATGATTCAAAGTTTTGACGCACAATTTGGCCTGGAGAGTCTTTGAATTAAAGAAGGCAATTGGAACCCAAAATTGATCCCAAAATCCACTACATGAATGCTTATCGCCTTCCCTATTACTT